GTGTGTTGTCGTGTTGTTGTGTGTGTGTTGGCTGTGCTGTGTGTGTGAGACACTCACTTCGGCTCCTGGCCTGCTTTTAGTTCTCACCTCTTTCATTAAAACACCATCACATTCGCCTTGACATTCGCAGCGATTCACTGTAACCTAACCCCCGACCCTTGGCCAGAACATCACAACACCTGCACCCCCCATGACTCTCCTGCATGCCTCTGTCTCCTCTAGGACGAGCAGCGGTTTTGGAAATTTCCTCTCTTGCCCTCTCACGTCACCCGTTTAATGCAACATCACACACACACATGCTTTGTTTGCAGATGTTTCGCTGTCCTCTATTAGTTATTCAGTCTATCATTTGTCTCTGGCGTTGCATCTAGTCCACAGCGGTCGACTCGCGCGCCAAGACATTCCTGCGTTCTTTTCCACTTACCTTGGCTATCTACGATCTCATCCTTCCACCGCGGTCAATAATGGATTCTCCATGGCTGTGTGTGTGTGTGTGAGACATCACTGCTCCTGGCCTGCTTTTAGTCCATGTTCATGTAAAACACCATCACACTTGACATTCGCAGGATTATGTAACCTAAAGACCCTGCAGAACATCACAACACCTGCACCATGACACTGTCTGCATCTCTGTCCTCAGGAGAGAGCGTGAAATGTCTTCTTGCCTCAGGTCACGTTTAAAAGCAAACACACACACACAGTTGAATGTTTTCGTGTCTCAAGTATGGCATAGATTATGTTTGAATCCCACAGCATGATGCAGACATCCTGTTTGCACACTGCATCACATCCACCTCCAGGGGAATAATGATTCTCGCATGGCCCTGTATTATTAATTCATGTCCAGTGGTATGGGTTCGGCAGGAGCGTGTCCTCGCCTCATGCAGTTTGTTGGGCCCCGGTGGGCAGCGTTTTAGCCTCTCAACCTTCCCCAGCCGTCACCGTCCAGGTCCCTTCTCCCATTAGGAGACAGAACAATGCTGAATTATTCACTGATGTTTGAATAATTCAAGGTGAAAATGCTCATTGACTGCTGGAGAAAGTGTGCCAATCAGTCTGGACCTTCTTAATGAGGGAGAGAACTGAAGTGTGTGTTACAAACCGTAGTAAAGAGACGTGCACAGAGTCATTGTGTACTTTTATTAACGCTTTTACATCATGAAAATCTTCTCCAAAAAAGTGCTTTTGATACTTTAGTCTAAGTATAGTCTATTAACATTTAATATACAGAACTATTTATTATATTAAAAGAATTCAAGCACTATTCTACTTAAAAGAACAAAGATATTTATCATTTGTTTTCACACATATAAACACACAAACTAATCTCTGAACAATTTATGTAAATCTTAAACCTGCTATAATCAATATTTGTATACTAACATACTGTATGTGTAATGTGATAGGTGTCACTCATAGTGACAAACTCACAAAGAATTACCACAAGACTCTGCAGGTTCCCGTCTCCTTTACGTAACATTTTAGCATCTTTCAGCTCATTGTTTTGGTTTTTTACAACCTGCAGCTTTAATGTTTTGATTACCTCTTACAGCACTCATCAGCATCGTTTCCACACATTTCAGACGGTTGTTTTCAGTGCTCTAAAAAAAACCCACTGTACAGTACCTGCTCAGCACCAAAAAGCAGGTACAGTTAGCAGCCAGCTGGTAAGCGGAGTAGAGCATTTAGCAACTAAAAAAAAGAGATATTTTTCCATCCAGGGCTAAAACAAGTGAATATTGGACTTAAATTTACTCTCAAATTCATCATTTGGCCTGAAACACAACTCCTAATGGACGCCAATGTTCGTGCTCAGTGTCTGCTGGATGTGTAAATAAGAAACTATTTGCTAACATGTCAGCCTTGGCAACTTAAAAGATGATAATGTGTCAGTGTTGTGTTTACAAAATCTATTAATGGAGCTTTAACTTACATGTGTATGCGACACAGAGTCTGTATGCTGATATCCTTGGTGAGTACAGGAGGATTACTACTGCAGGCACTGTGCTAACTTTATTATAATCTGGGCCAAGATTTTCCCATGATGACTTTTAATCAGTTCTGTTTTATCTGGCAATTATGAATCATTTAAACCAGAGAATTTAGATTTTTTTTGGAAAACCATTTTCTTTTAATTGTACTTCTTTTAAATTATTTAAAGATAATAAGATGTTGACATGTTTCAGTAATCTGGTTCTAATGCGAGTCCAGAACTGCCAGGACACCAACCCTTAACCCCTCAGGTTAGTCTTCGCTGTCATCTTCCTCATCTGGGTCCTGACCTTCGGAGCTGTCCTCTGTGGCGTAGCTGTCGGGCTCCTCCCGGTCGTCAGCAGACTCATCATCGTCCTCTGTGTTCACCCTTCCAGACAGGACGTCCTCTATCCAGTCCTCCAGCTCCTCAGCGGTGGGCAGGTCCTCGTCGTTGGACATGTCCAGCCACACGCTGTCCGCCTGGATCACAGGGCACCAAGACAGTCGAGGCTCACTGGTAACGGCTAATAAACAGCTACTTTTGGTGCGGTCTAAGACTGTAACCATTACTTACGTCTGTGACGTTGACCACACCAATCTGAGGTCGAAACAGGTCCAACTTGAAGGTTTTTTCCCAGTAGGTGGTCAGCTGGGGGGGTGAGACAAGCCAGGTCAACTTTTACATATTTATACAATCTTGTATAGATATTGTTTCTCAAACCAATTTTGAGAAAGATTTCTGATGCTCTTTTCAGAGATATTAAGCTAAAGGTGATCCAGAACCAGAGGGAAGTCATCGGGGTCGATCCAGACGATGCTGAGCTCTGGGTTGTTGGTGTTGTCTCTGGCTACGTCTTTCAGGATCTCCAGGAACTCATAGCCATCTGGGGACAACAGCACAGAGGAAACTGAGCTCAAGTTCCGGTGCTAAAGACAATAACAAAGGTAAACAACTGCAAAAACAAAAGGAAAAAAGCACAGACCTGGATCTTCCTCCTCAGCAAACGCGACAATATGTATTCCATCCATGTCGTCCTCCTAGAAATGTCAAAGTTTACAGCACAAGTTATAAATGTTGGAGGAGAATCGTCCTGATGTTGCACCTCAAATAAGCTTAAAACAACATAACAGAAAAGACGGAACAATAACTCACCCATGTTTCAAACATATTCTCCGCCCGGAGCTTCCTCAAAGTAGCCCTGTAAAGAGCACTTTTTCATAAGATTCCCAACCAGGTTTTAGGCGTTAAATTAACCCTTAAACGATTTAAATCTACTCAACCTTCTGTGTTGGTTCACAAACTCGACAATGTCCATCTCTGACAGAGGTCTGCCGGGCAGAATGGCCGGCTCCTCCATGAACGGCTCATAAAAATTCACCTCGTTCATCTTGAGGGAGAGGTGTTTGGCTACCTGAAACATACAGCATGCCAGGATTTCATTATGGTTCGCAGGTGGAGGAGGTAATTGTGGGGTTTTGTTAAATGAGTGGATGAATCTCATTAAACAAAGGCAATCTGAAGGGCTGTATTTAAAAAATCTGTTTCATAATAAAGGCATTAATAGATTTAATTTGAATACTCACAGGTTTATCAAATGTAGCAAAGAACTTGATGTAGGGTTGAAAACGCTCTGAGGCCTCCTGAAAAGCTTTGTAGTCTGAGAAGAAGGGGAGATACAGTGAGATGATGAGGAACTCCAGAGAGCAACCATAAAGATGAGAAAGTGAAAACACAAGTGTGGATCTTCTTTCTCATTCTGGTCACATTTCTAGCCAAATCTGTGGTATGTGATCAGGAAGGCAAGCAGTGAAACCCACTCTCTTCATTCAATTTCCCATCATGATTGTACTGTCCCCACCCAAGTAACAAAGTCTCCCTTAATACAGTTTTATACGCTTGTAACGCGCTCCTGGCTCTGCTCCCAACAAGGTCACAACCAAGGACCAACCTATCTCTGGACAGAAATAGGCTCAGTAATGAAACTTCATCATATTGGACCAGATAGCATCTTCCCTGTCTCACTTTTTCTCCCTTTTTTTTTTGAGAGGAACTATAATTGCAGTTTGACCTATTAGACAGAGAACTAGAAGCTATTTAAAGGCTCTCATGAGACTGAGTGAGAGTGCCACAGTCTGGAATCAGGTTTCCCTTTAGCAGCCAGTTAGGCTACATGGTGATGTCCATTAGCCTCCAGATACCATTAGCATCTGGGGAGCACAGTGAGGCAACTTTAGTGGTCGAGATGTTTTTCACTCCCTGTCCTTGTAAATGCAAACACAAATGCATTAATGAGTCTGGTGGTAAACTAACATGAGTCCTCTCCTTTGAAGTAGCCAATGAGACGGATGTCTTCCTCCATCCTCTCGAAGGCTCGCAGCTCCATGGCGTTATTGATCATTTCCACGGGGTCCTCCAGCACCTAGGGGGCGATATAATACAAGTATTTACACTGCCAAGAAAACATAAAGCAATAGAAATCCACTTATCTGCTTTCTCTCCATGTTAGACAAGAAGATTGATGCCGGCCTGATGTCCAATATGATGCTACAGCTAGCAGCCAGTTAGCTTAGCTTAGCATGCAGACCAGAAGTATAGGGGGAAACAGCACAAAATCTGCCTACCTGCACCTCTAAAGATCAGTAATTAACATGTTATATCTTGTTTCATGTAGCGGTACAAAAACAAACCTGTAAAAACAACAGTTTGTGGTTTACGGGGAGTTTTGTGCCAGACTATTTCTTGGCCAGTGGCAGTGAAGAGTTTCGAAGAGAATCCTAAACTTGTATCCATGATTATTTGGATTTTTTACCTTCAAGCAGAGCCGGGCTAGCTGTTTCCCAATGCTTCAACTCTTTATGCTAAGCTAAGCTAATCGGCTGCTGGCTGTAGCCTTGGGTCTACATTTAATGTACAGATTTGAAGGTGGTATCAATCCTATACTTTCTCTGTGACAAGGCTGTTTCCAGAAGAGAAAGTCCCATTCATTTTTCTTATAGACAACATTAGCCGATTCACACCACATTAAAAAAATAATTAACTACGACTCCCAAGGTGTATTTTGTCAACAAACATCCAAACATTGAGCTTAAAACCACTTCACAACTCCCAAAATGTCAAACTATTCCTTTAATGTATTCATGTGAACAGCTACTTCTGCTGAATCTGCTATTACTATGAAATACATCAGTTATTCTAACGAGGCTGCAGGTCATTACACATCTCTAAAGAATCAGACTGTCCACTCACATCCAGCAGAAACTCCACCAGTGTGTCCGATGACAGCTCCCCATCAAACTCAATCACACGGTCGTCCTTGAAGACGTACAAGCTGCCCACCTCCTCGAGACCTAATTAAACAGCAGGACTTTTAGAGGCTAATTTGAGGACATTTATAGAGAAAAACTACATTAGTGGCAAGGAGTGTATGTGGAGCGCAAACAAGAGAGCAGAAAATGCTGATGTTGGATCAAAGTAACAGTAATGCAGCTGATACTGTGGAGTGATGAAAAGGAAGTGAGTCATACCCAGTTTTTTGGCTACTTTGGCGTCCTTCTGGGAGTCCACCATCCCAAAACCGATGTCTCTGTTCTCCAGGACCTGAGCTGTGAGCTGGGTGTACACACAGACAGAGGGCAGTCAGAATAAAGCAGAAAATCCTTCCACAGCAACAACTCTTTATCTGTAAAAACAGCGAGTCTGACATGTAAACCTTCTGCAAGACTCTTTAGGACTAGCTTCAGTTTGTAGGGTCAATATAAAACATGGGGAAGCATTTTAACTATACTAAACATACTGCATGGACTGCCGTGACATAGCTACAGTCTCACAGAGCACAATGACTGTAGACTTATTGTCTTTCTTATTTTATGAAATCTTCTATATAAATAAATTGTCTTCCTTTTCATGATTCATGATGGTTAAGTTAAGTATATTGTTAGTGAATTATGACCAGGGACATTGCTACCATCAAGGGAAATACACTCCTCTGCATTTTTTCTTGCAGATGAGTGTATTTCATGACATGACACACAAATTATATTATTTTTTCAAAGCTGATTATATTTCTGTTTCTGAGGGAAAAGTGTATCATAGTTACATTATATGGGATTTAGCCGGTGTTACCTCACAGTGTGGACTCATTTATACCATCATAGGCCAGTGGTTCCCAACCTGGGAGGCAAAGTCTGACCTCCTCTGGTCTATAAGAATTATTTAACAGTAACAATCTGAACATATGAAACAAGTGAAGAGGATTACTAAATGTTGAATGGTTCTAAGGCATTTGGGAACCACCAATCCAGGAAGAGAACATTTCTAGGAAATCCTGTCTCCCGTATTTTTAAAATCCAGGCTGCTAAATAGAGAGTCTGTAGATCAATCAGGAATCAGAACACTTCAGCACCCTCCACTCTGCACTGTGCATTTAGCTTGGCACCTCCACGCTGTGTATTTGAGCTGGCATCCACAGCTGCTGCTGTCTTCGTCAATTCATCTTTTCATTACCGTGGTGTTTGTGTGTGTGCGTGCCCCCTGTGGAGTTTTCTTGTTAGAGGAAAGCTGTGAGACAGGACTGCTTGCCTTTCAGCTCGCAGTTCTTGAGGAAGGAAAAACAGATTTAGCAACACCACAGAAGAGACGAGACTCTGTTCAACCGAGTGTGTGTGTCTGCTTTCAAACTGTGCATGAAACATGACAGGAATGCAGAAGTAAAAGCAACTAATTCAAGGTGGGTTTCATACATTTTAGCTCATAAATAATAAGGGGAAGCATACATCCACTTATTTCTAGTTCACAGTCAGATAAGAGTTTTGGGAACGAGCTATAATTAACAGACTGACCTAGAAACATTCCCCGGATACATATGAACCACAGAGGAGAGCACGTAATAGGATTAAAATCACTGCCTGTGTAGAGAGCGAGCAGGTAAAAACACTGACATCCAACTGTGACAGTGCGAGAGCGATGACTCCTACTTCACTCCACTTGATGGTGAAGCAGACAGCCAGAGGAAGAATGAGGCGTTCAGTGTCTGGCTTTCCAACCAGAGAGAGGGAGGGGATCACAGACTATACAATGGCTTGTTATGACAGGTTACAGTCAGATGAGCAACGGCAGTGAGGCTGCAGGTTCAACCCGCTGGGGATTTGAGCTTATTGAGACATTTTTTATGTTATCAGTGACATCGGATATATCAGGGCCCTGTATGTCACAACATCTCCGGCTCTCTGCTTTGATCAGTGATGACGTCTTCTTGGCAGGAGTCAGGTGTTGAGTGTACCTGAGGAAGGTCTGAAGGATTTGTGGGGATCCAGAGTCGGTTGATGAATGAATGACCTGAGGGATGGAAATAAAGCTAACAATTTTGATTAATGGGTTAAGTGTTTATGCCATTCATCGAGGAAGACGTAAGAGTCTCTGTGAGGCTTCATGTCAACTGATATCACTGTAAACTGATAAACTGTTGCTTTTTTTGTCATATATTTAGTTAATAAAGTAAATCTACTTCTTCTTGTTACTGAATTAAATATCTTTGGATTCTACAAATGAATAAAACAAGACATTTCTGGAAATGTTGCGATATTTCACTGGATTAGTAAAAACTTTGACCTGGTGGTGGCGCTAGATGAAAGGTCAGAGGATCAACAAAGTCAGAAGAAATTTTAATTAATAATATAATAATAATAATATATATATAGTATGTAATATAGCGTATGTAGTATATTATATATAGTATATAATAAAAACAAAAAAAATAAAAAAAGTTTTTTTGGCAATCCATGTAGAGGGTAGTTAGTTGAGATATTTCAGTCGATCTGGGTCAATTTCAAGACTGCACATAGAGCGACAGCGACTTTGACTACAAAGCGCACAAAACCAAATGTTTTCTCTGTTTTATATGATTTTAAATTAGACATCTTAGTGTTTTTGGACTGTTTGTGGGACAAAAAAAGCAGTTTGAAGATGTGTGAAATGACCTTTGGGAGACCTGAGATTGGCATTTGAAATTTAATCAAAAATAAATAAATAATGAAGGAATTAACTGGTTGCAGCCAGATATAGATGGTGCTGCTTTCTAATACAGCACCTTTTATATAAGGTTTATAAGTTGTACTACTTAAAAACCCTTTAAAAAAATGCAGCCTATGAGAAAGAAGTATGAAGTGCAAAGTTTTTAGGACGAATTTCTTCAGATTTCTTGTGTCTCAGACCCTTAAAATTAACTCCACTTCTATCATAAAAATTAAATATCAACACTAATCTCACTACAGCCACTCTTGGGATGTCTCTTTGCCAGCTCCCCTTCTTCCCACCCCCTCTGAAGACCCCTCTTCCTCACCTCCAGCACCAGCTCCGTCATCTGGAACCTCTTCTGCAGGCCCTTGTTGGCGGGCACCGGTTCGTGGTAGAACAGACACAGCAGGTCGTACCTCTTCAGAGCCTTCTTGTAGTTGCGCTCGCTGATGTCCAGCACCCTGTCCTTCCCGTCGAAATTGGGGAACTCGAGACCTTCCTCGGCTCTGCAAAGGAAAACCAGGCGAAGGCAGAAGGCAGATAGTAGAGAAAGCCAGATTGGCTGCATTGTTGTTCAGTTGTGGAGTTTGTGGTTGTAGATATCACTCCACGGAGCTAAAATCCATCTACAGATTTGACCTCTGAGTGAAATATTCTCACAAATATATCATCATCTACTTCTCTCTAATGCTCTCCTTTGATCTCTCTCCCTCTCCACCTGTCTTCTGTCTCCTCCTCTCTCTGTCACTCAGACTTACTGCCCGCAAATCTCCCAGGAGGGTCTCTGCCTTCTTTCTTTCCTTTCCTTTCCTCCTCCTTCTTTCTCTCCCTGACTATACATTTACAGCACAAATCATCCATGTGATCGTCATTCATGCCCTTGAAATAAATTCAGAAATTAGAGCAGAGAAGCTGTGGGGAGATTTCATCAGCCGCTTTAAACCAGCAGTGACACTTTCCATATCAAGGAGAGATGATTGAGGTTGCGTTGGCTTTAAGCATCCATGCTGCAAAATGAATGAAGAATTGATTGATTGATGAAGTCTGACAGAAACGTGAGTGTGAATATGAAGAGACACATTTTGTGAGGAGTGTCCCTTTAATGCCAGTATTTTGGGGCCACATCTTCCAAACATTACGGTCGCTGTAAATGAATTTCTCCGTGCGCACTGTTACCGTAATGACCGCGTTCAGCCAGGAGCAACAGATCACAGATCAGCGCTTTTGTTCCTCCAGACAAAGCTGGAGGATAAAGATGGAGCTCTTTGGGCTGTGGAGGTTTTTAACTCTGTTGCAAGTTTGTGATTTATGTTTGGTTCAAGCATCAGGTAAAACGTTTTTAAACAAATACGACCCGTGTATTCGTGCTAGTGGGGCTTTTTTTTCTTTTACCCCGCTTTGTGTCGCTTTTGCCTCCTGGAGGTAACTTTTGTTGTTGGTGGAGTCATTCATCACTTAGCCCAACGAGCTAACTTTGCTAACTTTAAAAGCTGATGTTTTTGCGTGGATATTGCGGGTTAAAAGTCCCGCCCTTTCGCCCACAGCAGCGGCGTTAAAAAATGTTGATTTATAAATGAATTTAAAGGATTTTATTCACCGAGGCTGGGCGTGGTTTTGGCAACAGGTCTGCTAAAGCTAGTTAGCAGTAAGAAAAGTCCTGGCTGGCTCTCACTGTGTGTTAGTGTTAGTTAGTCACACAGCTGAAACAGCTGCCATACAGTCAGTCATCACCTTTTCTGCTGCAGGTGTAACTTGAACTTATGATGTGTTTGTGTTGTATTAAGATACGTGTGCTCCTCGCTGCAGAGACTGACACTTTGCCATTATTTGCAGGGAAACAGTGGAAGGAAATGAGAGGGAAGGTTTCTGGTGCTGTTAGAGGATACACTCCCTGCAGCCCTGTGAACTGCAGCTGCCATCTGAGGTCGGTGTGATCTCAATCTCTCTTTGCATTTCCTCACACGTCAGCTTTTTCCCCCCTCAACTTAACGCTGCAACATCCTCCCTCCTGTCCTGCCTCAGTGTCCTCCAACAGGACCTGCAGCCCTTCAGAGGGAGGATCTCTGAGGATGTGATGGCTGCGACTCTCCTGAGAGGGGTGGGCACCCACTACCAGGTCATTGAACACAAGTTGTACCGAGAGCACAACTGCATGTTTCCTGCAAGGTAAAGAGAAAAAGCACTTCATGTGATCATTCTTAAGGTTTAAAGAGTTGCTGTTTAAGTTTAAATAGTTTGAATTGCGTCTGTTTCCTGCTTTCAGGTGCAGCGGGGTGGAGCATTTCATCCTGGAGGTGATTGACAGGTTACCTGACTTGGAGTTGGTGGTAAATGTCCGGGATTATCCTCAAGTCCCCAGCTGGGTGCAGCCGACGCTGCCTGTCTTCTCTTTCAGTAAGGTCAGACTCTAGGCAATAGTTTTATATATACACAGTTGGAAACACACACTGGTGTTAATTAAATGCTGCAAGCGGCTCTCACACGCGTATGTTTGATCTGAGTAGACGGCAGACTACCAGGACATCATGTACCCTGCGTGGACGTTTTGGGAGGGCGGACCAGCTGTTTGGCCCATATACCCCACCGGACTGGGAAGATGGGATCTGATGAGGGATGACCTTAAAAAGTAAGCTCATATATAGAGTCTATAAGAGTGTATTTACTGTATAAAGTAGAGATTTTAATCTACTCATTCCATCATTTTAAATGTGAGTGCAGGTTTTTCTTTTTCTCGTCTGACAGTAAATTGAATATATTTTGGTTTTGGACAAAACGAGCAATTAGAAGACGTCATCTTGGGCCTTTTTTTAATATATTCTGCCATTTTTATAAATGCTTAATCAATTAACGGATAAAATAACTCACATATGTGTATATGTGAAATAAATCATTAGTTGTAGCCATAAAACAAAGTTCTCAAACTTTGATAATTCAATAACTATTTAAGTTTATTTATCAAGAAAATATAGTAAACATTATATTATAATATAATATATGTATTATATTTTTTATAAAATGATATATTTTTGATCATATTTTTGGTATTTAATGGTAAGAAATGGATAAATGGATCACTTTAATAATAATTTGCAGCCGTACTGTATGAAGTACATACTTTCACTGTGTCTCATTATCTATTTAATGTGTTGTGGAAGGTCTGCAGCACAGTGGCCGTGGAAGAAGAAAGAGTCCAGAGGATTCTTCAGAGGCTCCAGGTCAGTCTTGAAAGTCCTGCAAATGTATTAGTTTATTAATTCTGTGATACAACAATCAAAATGTCTTTTTAATGTCAGTTATTTCTTTTTCTTTGGTTATGACTCTTCACTCGGACATTGTAGCAAACTTCTTTCAGTGTTTCTTCGTCTTGTATGAATTATTTTAATAAAATTTAGCACAATTTCTCCCCCAAACTTTCTCTGATAGAACGAGTCCAGAGCGCGACCCTCTGATTCTTCTGTCCAGAGAATCTCCAGATCTGGTGGATGCAGAGTACACGAAAAACCAGGCCTGGAAGTCTGAGAAGGTCAGTCAGTCATACCGAAACCACAAACACATTAACAATGTAAATCCAGCAACTCTCTTGCATTGTGAAGTGATTGGTCGAGGTTTAAAGCTTCAGGACACAGTCTGAAAGTCCTTTCCTTCCTGTTTTAGGACACACTAGGGAAACCACCAGCCAAAGAAATCCCACTGGTCGATCACTGCAAATACAAGTAAGCTGGATTTTTGATCAAGGACAAAATAAAATACAAGCACTTTGATCAGTCCCTCCTTAACCTCGTTTTATATGCTTGCAGATATTTATTCAACTTCCGAGGTGTGGCAGCCAGCTTCCGCTTCAAACATCTCTTCCTCTGTGGTTCGCTGGTGTTCCACGTGGGCGATGAATGGCAGGAGTTTTTTTACCCTCAGCTCAAGCCGTGGGTCCACTACATCCCAGTAAAGCAGGACCTCTCTGACCTCAGGTACCGCAACAACTGGTTTCTCAGTTATGATGTTTTCAGTCCTGGTTTACATGTTTCCAGTTCACTTGTCGAGGCGTCGTCTGGAAAGTAAAAGTAATGCAGCTGCTGAACTTGGAGACTTTTGGATCTACAGGCGTGTATTTATCCCACAAAAAATGAATCTGTTGGGAGGAAATATTAGTTCAATAGCTTTATATTATCAGATCAACAGAGAGATCAGTGATCGATCATGTTGTAAAAAACATTTAAACTCTTTTTGAACAGATTACTTTGACTAATAACTCTCTATTGGCTGCTTCAATCACACTGAACTGGAGCTGCTGGGAGCCGTTAAAAGTCAGGAAAAACTTATTCAAGCAGGAGGAGAAACATCAACAAAAAAGTAAAATCAAGTGAAAAATAGCCGGTTGTTGCTCCTCTTTAGTCTCGATGTGATGCATCTGTCTCTCTCTTCTGTTTGGACCTGGCTATAGTGTCTCCCTCCCTCTGTCACAGTGGTGAGACACCAATGATAAAGCAGGCATTGTAGCTATTTATACTAGTTTATAATCCCTAAAATGTAAATATGAATGCCTTAAAATAAGTATTACAAGAGTAAATTTCACAATTTTCCATGCTGCCTGTTGTCATCCACTTTACTTGCACATAAGGATGAACGCAGTTTATCTGTTTACTGCCTAAAAAGGATCTTTTGACAGTTTAAGAGCTCAGTTTATGAGCGTAAATGCTTCAGGTTGAATGAGTGGAATCGGCACTGCAGGCGCTTTTCATTCAGCTCTATGAATCTCTTTTTCTTCGTGTGTATGTTAAATGCTGATATGTCTTTACATGTTCTGCGTCCTCAGGGAACTACTACAGTTTGTGAAAGAGAATGATGCCATCGCTCAGGAGATCGCCACGAGGTAACGGATCATATTTTATGACTGGATTTGAATGCGTTTGCGCAGTCGGTCTGACTCTCTGCGTCTTCCCACAGGGGTAAGGAATTCATCCTCAACCACCTGCGGATGCAAGATATTTCCTGCTACTGGGAGAGACTCCTCACCGAGTTCAGCCAACTTCTCACCTACAAACCCCAGAGGAAGAACAACTACAACCAGATTGTCCACAGACCCAGCAAGACAGAGCTATAAGAGAGAGAGAGACAGGGCGGGAAGCAGGGCAGCTGTAGCGAAGGGAAACTCTACATAATGAATGTAATCACTGCACCTCAACATACGATGTGCTCACCAGCAGCATCGTCCTTCCAGGAGTTACACGTAGCTACGTAGCTTAGCATTACACAGTCGTAGGGGTAGTTTTAGTGTGTCGTCTGTGGATGCTGCCATACCTTCAGGTACCACCAGGGGGGGACGTATTTGCCAATTGTGAGTCATTGATCACTTCCTGGTTCAATTAGTTCATTTGCTTCTAACAATAACTCCTCTCTTTTTATGGCTGCTGTCTGTACTCGCCAGCAAAGTAACGTCCATGCCAACTGCGTTTTTTAAACTGTAAGAAAATACTGAACAAGTCTGCATATAAACTGGGGGATGTGGAATTTGAAAGATACAGCAGGTTGTGTGTTATAAAAAATGTATCTGTCTGCCAGGTTGCATTATGGGAAGTGTAGGATCTGGTGTTTTTGGAGCTAAAAGTCAGGATATCGCAGCCTCTGGAGTAAACCTTTAACATGCAATGTAAACACTTAATAACGTTGTCTTGTAACATTCATCTGGATTTGGCTTCTGGACCTCTTTTGGAGAGTTTAAATTGTTTTGAATTTGTGTTTGAACATCAGCTTTGTTATCTTCAGTGACCCATGAGGAGTGCCTTCTCCTCTCTACAGCCGAACACTCGTCCAAACCTAATGAAAATACTGCACATCCAGCTGTGGAGCTCCTAAAACTCTAATTTTAAATACTTGAATGGCAGCACAGCAGAGTGTGGTGTTGAATATCCACGTAGGAACTACCAATAATAATAGTTACTAGTTAATCTGTTACATATGTTTTTTGTCTGGCCTTTTTGTTTCTAAAAAATATGAAAAATATAGACCAGAATCTTTGTTCTAATTGTTCAAATCCTTTTCTACCCAAGTCGTGTTGCTATAAGAACATATTGACCAAAAGAGGTGCTTATTTGGTTATTAGTGAATATGAATCATTAATAAATACATGTAATCTGTTGATGGGGGAGGAAAAAAAGTGCCATCGGTGCATCACTAATACAGCCTATGAAGTAGTTTGTTTAATGTTTGTGCCACTGATGGTGAAGTTAAAGCTCATAAAGGACATCAGCTTTGCTACACTGCCCTCTACTGGACAACTGGACACACTCCAGCAGACCGTTACCAAGTTTCTTTACAACAACACATCCCAACACTGTTTAATTTTTATTAACGTTTATTGTCTGCATTTAAATGGGTTCTGCCATAAGTACATAAACTTGAAAGCACAATTCATTGTCAACATTTCAGTCCACACTAAGTGCCAACAGTAAGCAATAATCACTATAAAGTAATTACTTTTATTTTGATGTGTGGAGTTTTCAAGAAACACTCGTGTTAATTGTTTTTACCTTTTGATGATGATGTAAAGTAGCTACAGGAGAATGTTGAATATGTTGTAGTATTCACGTCGTACTGTGAGCGGACAGATTCTCACTGATGTCAGGTTGGTATTGTTTACAGTATTGTTAAGAAGTGTGGTGAAAGATGGCCCATTAGTATGTTGATTTGACCAAAAAGCTGTGATCATGTGCCTCGTCAAAGTGTGACATTGAGGTTGTTGGCACAGCTTGTGCAGCAGTTTTTTTTGTTTTGATGGCAATAAACAGTTTTATTCTTAAAACATCCTGGAGTTTTTCCTCATTCGTGACTTCTTCTGTGTGTTTTTTTTCTTACATATGAACATGTGCAGAATTGAACATCTACAATAAGCGTTAGTTACAGAAGTTAACTGCACATTTACTGTGAGTAAATACAAAACCAGTTATTCCAGGCGGCAGTAGCTCAGTCTGTAGGGACTTGGGTTTGGAACCGGAGGGTTGCTGGTTCGAGTCCAGCACAGACCGCAGTATGTAGTGTGGACTCTCTCTCCATGTTTGCATGTCTATAAGCTCTGCATGTACGTGAATGTATTTCGGACCTGTGTGTAAAATCAGAGTGGAAAGAATTAGGATCAATAAAGTACATCTTATTCTTTAAATCATTTCTAAAGGACTTTATTTCGACTGATTTCCGGCATAAATTCACACATTTCTTAATTCAATAAATTGTAAACATCTTCTCCTTAACAACTTTTCAGGCTCACAAATCTTCTCTTGCTGTTTTCATTCAGTAATACTGTCAGTCCTCCACCCACAGGGGGCGCTGTTGTCACTGTGTCTACCCGAGGTCAGAGGTCGGGACGACGGCAGGGCTGCCACAATGTCACCGTAGAGAAACACGCCGCAGAAGGGCGAATATATAAAAACAAAAGTGTTGACACTAACTACAGTTAATATGTTTTAATCAGGGATCGTCGCTGTTTTCTGGTAAGCTGCCTTTTAACTGTGATATGAGCTCATTGCATGCTCACCGGTACGGCTCCCATTATCGGACGAGCGTGGTTGTTTAAATGTTGTCCTGCAGTTTATTGATAAATAAATGTGTGTAAACAGACGACGGAAGTTTAAACGCGTGTTTTACGTTTTAATGAGCAATCATACTGTAAGGTAGTTTGTTATATGTGACGGAGAAAGTGAAGGTGAGAGTTCAGCATGGGTTGGTTAGCAGCACTGGACGCAGGTGTGCTACATCAGTCTGATTGACACAGTAACAGGTGACTTATTCTCACTATTTATTCTTATTTCTAACATTTTGTCACCGAATAAACATCGTTTATTAAGAAAGTATATTGTCTGAGATTACACAGCATCGATATAAATGCAAACTTTAAGTTAAGTTGAAGCTCAAACGCTGTCGGAAGCTTCATTAGCAGATAAAACCTCTATTTTTAACATTTTAAAACGATATAAAACAAAAGCAGACACATTAATGAAGCTGTGGACAGTAATGGTGTCTCATCTGGACAAAAGTATACAACAAACAATTATCAGAATTAGACTCCATTATTGTTTAATCAACTTATTTTGGTTCTGAATTAAACATTAACATAAATGTTTAATTATATGTCGGTGATATGGAACAAAGTGTAGACTTTAAGGAGTTTATTTGTTTAACATTCACTTCTCGCACTTTAAATCTGTTGCTCTCTACAACAGAGGACGCATATTAATTCATCCTTAAATTAACTGGATGGCATTTACAGTGGAGAGACACATTTGTAAAGATACACTGAATCTGCGTTTATCTTTGGCCCTGGACCAGCCTGCACACCCTGCTCAGAGGACCTTAGGGCCCCAGCGCTGCATTGAAGGCTCAATGACTCATTTTGAAGTCAAGAAAGAAGTCTTTTCCCAGAAAGTGTGCGTGTGAGAGCCCAGCGTGTTTTGATAGGCCTGCACCATTTAACAGCTGCTGAGTTGGACAGGCTGTGTATCACTGCCAGGATCTCATTCGCCTTAAGGCTATTTATTTTCAGGATGGAGCTTAAGTTGAGGCAGTGAGTGCAACATCCCAACCCATGGCCATGTGTTTCTGCCTCTCTGCTGCAGCCTGATGCCAGCTGAAGCGTGATGCATCCAGAGCCGTCCAGAACGGGCCTCGCCCTGCGGAGACGTCGGGCAGATTCGGCCCCTCGGGGCACGCTGAGCACCGGCCTACTGCAGGGCTTCATCCAGAGCGCCAGGCCTCCCTCCTTCTGCTTCCTGCTCCCCAGGGTCCACGCAGCTGATGTGGCTGCTGCCCAGCCTGCACAGATGCCCTCTTCGTCTACCTCCTCCTCCTCCTCCTTCTCCACCAGCCCTGCTTCTGCACACATCCTGTCTTCTAGCACCTTGCCAAGAAACATTGGCAAGCCAGAATTCCCAGACACGGGATGGGACCGCATCAAGGACCTCTTTGACAGAGAGTTGGTATTTTTGTTTCTTCTTAACTCTTCTCTTTTTTTCTCTTTCAGCCCTCTCTTTCTTTAAAAAGTTCTAAATCTGTTCAACACTGTTAAACAATAGTTTGTGCTCCTTTTTATGCATCCATTTTGTTATTTGGTGTTCAGTTACTGTTTATACTGCACATGTAGACAATGCGATGTCACATCTGGAGCTGAAACAGCTGATTGATTGAGTAGTCAATCAGAATCGATAATCAGTTTAGTGTCTAAGTAAAACTTCCCCACATGTTCCCGAGTTCTAGCTTTTCATTTTTAAGGATGTGCTGCTTTTTTACGTGTTAGTAAACTTAATATCTTTGCCTGTTTTGTCGGACGAACAGTCCAAAAATCCAATTTGAAGGCTCATCTAAGCTTAAGGACAGTTATACATCCCTCTGCTCACCTTTTTACCAGAGAGTCATTGTAGGAGAGGCAGAGATACCTCAGTAGGCCAGAATACAGGACAGTCTCGTTGTCTTGTGAGGTTCACTGATTCTGGACAGGAAAAACTTTTTTTTATTTAGGGAAATTCACAGAAAATTGTTGTTTAATTGTGTAAAATGTTGGAAGGGTAACTACTTCTGTACCAAACTTATTTTTGAAGTTAAGTTTAAAGTTATATTTGTACTTTGGCTTTTACTCAAATGTAGTGTTGGACAGCTTAATGTACTTAATAATCTCCACACCAACATATGTCTGCTGCATTAGTCGAGCTAGTTTTTTAAATTTAAATTTATATATATATATATATATATATATATATATATATATATATATATATATTATAATTAGT